GACGGCAACGCGTTCTCCGTGGTGCCACTTGGTGGAGCTTAGTGATTTCGGCTATCGCAGACATTGTTTTGCACTTCTTTTTTGGTTACACAATCAGTTGGCACTGGGCCCTGGAAACTGACAACATCCCCGCTAAAGAACTAAAAGCAGCAGTGCACCAGAAGTTCTGGTGAAGAAGATACTGACTCCAGTTGAATTTGGTAGTCATCGCTGCACTTCCTGAAAGCAATAAAATATACAGTATTTGATTTAAAAGAAAATAAGAATATAAAGTGCTGGCTTAAGGCTTTGGCATTCTTGCTATATAGGAGGAGAGAGGTGTTGAATTGTGTCATGTTTTATTTATTTTTAAGCTTAAAAATAGCATTAGGAAATTTGCCTTTGAAGTTTTATCTTTATAAAGTTTTCTGTAACAAGGGCAACGTGTGCATGCATCTGCGTGAAGGACCTCACAGCAGTTCAGATGTGTGCTTTTCCTCAACTCACATGCGAAGAGCGAGCAGATCAGTGGTTAAATAGGAGAATCATGGAATCACAGAATCATTAAGGTCGGAAAAGACCTCTAAGATCATTCAGTCCTACCATCCATGTACCACCAACCATGCCCACTGACCATGGCCCTCAGTGCCACATTTACACGTTTCCTGAGTACTTCTATGGACAGAGACCCCACCACCCTGGGCAGCCCATTCCAGTGCTTGATCGCTTTTCAAGAGAAGTTTTTCCTGATGCCCAACCTGAATCTCCCCTGGTGCAACTTGAGGCCGTTTCCTCTCATCCTATCAAAATGATTGATCACACCCCACATCTGCCTACATCTGCACCAGGAACTAGTTAGTGTAATAAAACTGAAGCTGGGATGTGGGCTAATTATGTGCCCACATACACACTTGTGCTCAGAGCTATGTGGAAATCAAGGGTATGACACCTATGGAGACAGCTCAGGACAGGTGGTGGGTTTTCAGCTTCCCTACAGGAACTGGAAGGAATAACTGTGCAGCACCTTGTCACTGGAGTACTTCTCATGTTCTTAACAAAGAAACATACCACCACATATTTATCAAGTACCGAAACTGACATTCTATTAGTGTTCTTCTGGTTGGCATTCGACAAGGAGCTCTGGGATCCATCCGGAGCTGGCTGTGATCATCTCTAACACCCACACTGTTGGCTGATGTTTGCTGTCTGGCCATTAGTACTTACTGCACAGAAAAGAGCAGTGCAGAGTAATTGTGCCCAGAAGGAGGACAGAGCTCTAACTGACCCATAGTGCCCACAGAACTTCCTTGCACAGTGCTCACTCTTTGCTCATGCCCTGCCTGCACTGACAGGCCCTGTCAGCTCAGGTTGTCGTGTATTTTCTGATGGCCTCGTGGTGTTCCAATAGGACAGCCTGTGGAAGGCCAGAAATCCCATACGTTGGTCACTTGGTGCTAGCTCTCCATACACACAGGTGTTTGTTTTCAGCCAGTCTCTACATTACCTATGCTGTTTACCTGGTGTCTGTTTTCTCAGTTCAGTTTACCACTGCAGCAGAAGCACTTCAGGATTTCAGCTGTTGCTCACAGCAGGGCTCAGTGCCTGTAGCCAGGAGAGTGGCTACGAGCCCCTGTGGCCTCAAGACCTGCCATTGCTCCTTGTTCTTGTTTGTAAAACAAGCTTATTTGCTGGCATGTTTGTTGCATGCTTGCTATTTCTGCCTGTTCTGCTCCGTTCCTTACCTGCCTCTACACCTTATTTAGCTCTATCCATCAATTGTGTTTTTAAAGTACGGCAGGGATCATAACAGCAAGTGGCACAAGTAAGGGGAGAGAGGTTTAAAAAACACCACTGTGCTATCTGAGCTCCTGCAATCCTCGTGGTCACACAGAATTATCTGGAAATTAATTGGGCAGCCCATTTGCGTTTATTGTAGGCTCAACGCCATCATTTCCTGGCAAAAAAAAAAAGCAGATAAATAATTGAATACAAACTTCTGAATTAACACAGCAATCTTTGAACAACTGTTAATGATCCTGGGTCAGATTTTGGTGGGGGAGGTGATAACATGCCTGCCTGGAAAGGGAACCTCACCTTCAGGACATGGCATGGGGATGCATGTTACAACGCTAAATGGTTCCTGTGTCACTGGAGAAGACAAATGGAGGCATTTCTGCACGTTGGATTCAGGTGATGCCATTTCCCCACTGCTGCTGCCTGCTCTGCTCTTCCTGCCAGCTGAGTTTGCCACAGCATCCACGATTTTACTGCAGAGACCCTTTTTAACATGTCTGCAATAAACATTTGTACTAACCTGATGACTTGAACTATTGCATCTATAAACAAATAGCCAGAACAGAACAGAAATGACCTAACTGAGGCTATATTGTGAAAGTGGGTCTTTAAATTATTATCCTTTTAAAGAAAACACAGGCCTTGTGCAACATGGCATTGGGGCTGGTCGCATACATGCAGCAGAAAGAGCACAGCCTCCATACAATTGGAAGTGGCTTTCCGTAAGTACGTGAGCCACTTTCAATCGAGTAATAAATTAGAAAGAAAACAAGTTAGTAGAAGTCCAAAGGCCTATATATATATGTTTCCACAGTCCACTGCCAACATGTATTTTAAACAGACACAAAATTTCTCAGTATCCAAGCACCGGGAGGTCAAGCTGTTAGCATGGGGAACTGGGCTAAACTTTCTTACCGCAAACTAACAAATAGCTATCGATCAATCAATCAACCAACCTATTTATCTATCTATTTATCTACCTACCTATCCATGATGGCTGCTCTGAAAGTAACGCCTCCTATTTTATGATGTTGGTGGTATGGCACTAGAGGCTGAACCTTCCCATCAATATCCTGTGACATTTTGTTGCCATGTGACAGCTAGCAGCAGAGGGGCGGTCTGATAGAATGATGTCTGACACGAAGTGTGTATGAAGCAAAGGGGTGGAACTGAATTCCTCCATGTGGAAAAAGATGACACCCACTAACGTTCATCAGTGCTTACTGAGCATTTATGGAGACCAAACAGTGGATGCTGGCACAGTGAGGGGCGGGTGGTGCGTTCCAGCAGCGGTCAGAACAGATCATGGTGCTGCCACTGGCAAGACCTCCACCCATGGGGCCATGGCAATGAGGGGAGCACCAGTCCTCACCTGCACTCTTCTTTCTGGAGCCCCAGCATAGCAGTGCCCTAAGTCAGAGCCATTCCATTCTCTCCTGGGACTGAAGGAGGATTCAGGGCATTTACCCTTCCTCGCCTGCCTCTTGGTGCCTTTCTCCTGTGTTCTGCTTACAGGACTCCTGTTTGGGCAGTTAGGGCAGCACTGCCAGCAGTGCCTTTATAGCCTCACGCTGTGTGTGCTCACAGAGCTGTGCTTCGTGCCCCGACTGCACGTCCTGCAAACACTGCATCGTATGGGAATGCTTCAAAAAGCAAACCACTGAAAGATGGAACGTTTCAAAACACCGAGTTATTATTCACCAGCCACGTCTTCACAATAAACAGCAGAGCTTCAATTAAAAGAAACACCTGCTTTCTTATTGTGAAGTTGGTGTTTTTTTAATGGTCCCATCAAAAAATGAATAATTAAAAGAAAAAAACTGATTATGATTGCTTGGCAGACACCTTCTTCGCACTCAGAAATCTCAGGTAATAATGAACAATAAGTTCTCAGATTTATTTAATTAAATCCTAATTACCAAACCATATTGAGTTTGTTTGTTGGAACTTCACGCCTACGACAGAGGGCTGTGAAGGGCGGGGTGCAGGATCCTCCTGTGGATGCACCGAGCAGCCCCGTCCCTCTGCGGTGGGCACAGCCTCGCGTGTGCGTCCCGGCCCGGCCCCGGGCGGCAGCTCGGGGTCCCCCGTCCGGTTCAGGGCCGCTCTCCGCTCGTACAGCGCCGTGTCGGCCGCCGGGGATGGAGAGAAGAAGCAAACAAAGGAAAATCCCGATCCATGTGGCGGGCGGCGCGCTCAGACCCGCAGCTCCGACAGAGGTGCCGCAGTGAATTATCAAACGCTATGAATGAGTTATGCTCGTCGTTTCATCGATTATGAAAAATTACGAGCACGAAGGGGGCTGGGTTCGCGGCACCTGCCGTAGCGACCGCTCGCCGCAGTCACCTGTGCACGCACACGGCGTCGGGGCTCCCCCGGCCGAGGCCGCTCCGCGGTGCCACCGCAGCATCGCTGGGATCGCTCGCCCCGCCACCCCGCTGCCGCCCCGCACGGCGGCGGAGGGCGCTGCGCAGCGGGGCGCGGTGGCGGCCGGCCGGGGCCCTCCCATTGTTCGCGGCCGGGGGCGGGCCGTGCCGGGGGGGTCCGCCCTCCGCCGCCTCATTGGCGGCCCGCGAGCGCCGGTGCGTTAAATGGGGCGCTCGCCGCGGAGCGCTTCCCATTGACAAAAGCGCGGCGGCGGCGCGGGGTGGGGGCGGAGGAGCGGGGCCGGGGCGGGCGGGGGGCGGCCGGCGCCCATCGCCCATGGGGGCGCGGCGGGGGCTGCCGCAGGGCTGAGCAGCGGGAGCGGCACTGCGGGCAGGGAGCGCTGCGGCGCGGGGCGGGCCGCGGGGCTCCGGCATCGCGCTCCGGCATCGCGCTCCCCGCACACGCAACGCGCACACACACACGCTCACACTCACACTCGCGCACCGCGCACGGCGACGCGCACACGCGGCGGTGCCCGCCCCTCTTCCCATCCCCGTCCATGGCGCTGAGGACGGCGGCCCCCCGCTCCGCACGTAAGTAAGCGGCTCCGCCGCGCCTTTGTGCCCGCAGGTGCACCTGCCCCCGCCGCTCTCGGCTCCTCGCCGGGGGGTTGGGGGCGGGCGGGGCGGCAGCCGGTCCCGAGGTGGCTCCGGGAGGGGGGTGGACTGCCGGGCCGGGGCCCGAGGCGGTGCGTCAGGGCGCTGCGTTCTGCCTTCCCCCCGCAGGTGGCCCCGGGGCGGCCCGGCGCGGGCACGGAGCGCGGTGACTTCCCCAGGCCGGGCGCCGAGACCTCAGAGCCGATGGAAAGCGGGGGCGATGCCGGAGCGGCATCTCGGCGGGGAGGCGGCGGGTTCCCGGGCGCTGCTGGGCCCGGCGCTCCCCCGGCTGCGGACGGCGGCGTGAACGTGGATGGGCCCGGCGGGAGCGGAGCGGCCGCCGCTGCGGGGCCGGGAGCGCCCGCGCCGCCGCCCCGAGCGCCGTGCTCCAGGGACCCCAAAATGGTCCATCAGCGGTTCCTGCGGCGGAGCGTGGTGGACTCGGACCAGGAGGAGCCCGCGTTCGACCTTCCCGAGTCGGAGCATCAGAGGAAAATCATCTTGCTCCCCAAAACCAGGAGGATAATCGCGGAGAGGGCGAAGGCAGGGCACGGGGCGGCGGAAAAGGTGTGCCTGGAGGCCGAGCCCCCGGGGCCGCTGCGGGCGGGGCCGGCACCCGGCGGTGCGGCGGGGCCCGAGGAGCAGAAGGAGGCCGGCAAGGATGCGGAGAGGAAGGAGGCGTCGGACGCGGCCAAGGAGCAGGGCAAGACCAAGAAAGAGGAGCCCGAGGAGGAGGCTGACATGAAAGCGGTTGCCACCTCGCTGGATGGCAGGTTCCTTAAGTTTGATATTGAACTCGGGAGGGGATCCTTCAAAACGGTCTATAAGGGACTGGACACGGAGACGTGGGTGGAAGTCGCTTGGTGTGAACTTCAGGTAAGCTCACCCTCCCGTACGGTTTCGGGTTTTTTTGCTTCGTAAGCCCCCGCGCTAAGGGCAGCGTGCCGGTGTCACCCCCGGCAGCTCGGCTCCGAGCAGCCTTTATAGCCCCCACCGCTCGGTACCCAGCGTCTAACTATAGCGCAGTGCCCTCATTGGCTCCGCACCCACCACCTTATGCGCACTCCTCCCCGCATTAACTCCCTCCGCCCCGCACTGCCCGCGGGGCCGTACGGCTCTCGGAGGCTGCGGGGAGCTGAGCCGAGCCCCGGCCCCGCAGCCCAGTGCCGAGGCAGAGCTGCATTTGGCAGCGGGTCTGGGCTGGAAGCGCTCGCTGTGTACGCTGACTGCAGTGCATTTGCAGAAGCATGCTGTCCTTTCCCAGCGAATATGGGTGTGAGATGCTGTTCCGGCGATGGGAGCTGTGCTGTCTCTCTCAGCCCTTCCTTGCCCTTTCCTCTCTCCTGACACTGGTGGTTTGTGTTGTGAGTCTCAGGCTGTGCCTTCTGTTAGGTGCCCTGAGCCCGTATTGCAGTTCAGCTTTGTGCTCTGATACATCTAAAAGTAAGGCTAAAAATAGCAGCTCTGCTTTGGGTTCTGGTTCTTTGCAGTGAAGTCACCTGGTAACGAGTAGAGAAGATGCAGGTAGTGCCTTGTGCTGTTCTAGGACGTGGCTTTTAAACACTTATTTTGTAGTGCATGTATGTTCTCCCTTCTGGATTTATGTTTCTGTTATGTTCACTAAAGTGAGAATATATATAAAGCAGGGTATTATTTCTTTTGCAAATCTTTTAGGGCCTTTTCCTTACCTCACTTCCATTAACATCCATTCGAATAGGACTTTAGGAAAACATGTAATCTATATGTTTTTTTAGTTTTATTTTTCCCTTGACTTATTACTCAGAGTTCCCACCCCATGATTTGGGTGGGAATCAGGCTGTTTGACTCCTGGTTCTGACCCTGGACCCTCTTGGTCCTGAGCTTCCTGCTGTGTGGCAGTGTTATGGGCCATGGGAGAGTGTGAGCAGCACATAAATACTGTGGTACACCACACTTATTCACACGTGAATACTGTGATGCACTCAGCTTGAGCTGTCTATTTTATTAGGGCTGGCACAAACTCTTTGTAAATTACCACCAGCCTGATGGGATGGGCAGAGATGGATGTGCTGCCTCCTCATCTCTATTCCCCAATGGCTTGCTTGTAACAATATGGTTGTGATTCACTGCAGTACTGCTCCCTGCTAGGAAGCACAGGCAGCACTCCTCAGCTTTTGCCATCGTTGGCTGTCATTAGGCAGAGCTGTGAGGTGTGAGGAGGCCTGGCACATCATGGCCACGATGTGGAGGAGGGGTTCAGTCCGATTTCCACTCCTATCATTGGGGGCTGGCGGTCCAGGTGGGGAGGCTCTAGGATTGCCGAAAGGATTGAAGGGAGAGCTCAGCATCTGTGGTGTTGGGAGAGGGGCTGAGAGGCCCTCCTCTCTGGCTGCTGCTGGGGACTGAGCCCTGATGAGAGGCTTTTACTCCTGTAATTCATTTAGGGCAGTAATTCAGATCCCCTCTGGGGGAATGTGTGTGTGCAGAAGAGGGCTGGGGCTGCTGAGCTGTCTGCTCCGACCGGTGCATGCGAGCTCTGTCATAACAGAGCCATCACACAGAGCAGGAATTCATTTTGCTGCCAGGTTTTCTCAGTATCCTCAGTAGGGGAATTAGATTAGAGATTTTCCAACATATTTTTCATAACAGAATAACTTCGGCTACAGAGGACTGCCTGGTACATTGGAGAGCCCATTTTATTGACATCCACTGTTTGGGTCATTTTAACCAAAGGTGGAGGCTGGGAAGTTTGCGGTGAAGTGTGAGGTTTGACTGGTGATTGTTTTTCATGTTCCTCGTTATGCTTGTTCAGGAGTTCCTGAGCCCACTGTTTTTAGAGAAATCAGCTGCAGTAATTCCACAGTGCCCACCTGTTTCAGTTACAGCCTGTGCTTCAGTGTAAGCCAGGTCTTACTACTGGGTAGTCCAAATGCAGTGCAGAGCTTGATTTAGGCCTCTGACTATAGGAACAATCTTTATTGTTAAGGTACTTAAGAGAAATGGGTGCCAATCACCTGAAGTGTTACAGCTGCAGTGTCTCTTTAAAGATGGAGGTTTCTCAGGTGTGCAGGTGATGCCAGAGGCTGTGTAGTGTATTGGGGGGGGGGGGGAAGGGGAGTGTGAATTGTGGTCTGCAGTGAGAACGTGCAGCTGGATGACATGAATCTGCCATTGGCATGTGAGGCCTTTGCCTCAGGGTTAATTGGAAGGAGGAGGCAGTCAGTAGGTGTGTCGCTCTGTGTTGTCTGGAGCCTTTTAACTTGTACAGCACTTGTTTCAGCTGGGGATTCTTACTGTGTGCATCAGAGTGCTGTGAAGGAATGGCTTCAGTCACAGTCTTCAGGATGCTCTTGTGTATGCTGCACTGTTTTGATGTGATTCTGTCTGTAGGAATGCTATGCTCAGATATGCTTAGCAGTAGGCTGAAGGAAGCCATGACTGCTGAGCTGCTGAAGACAAAATGACGTCCTTTACAGACTCACACAATTGGAGGACCTTTTTGTAGGGAAACTGCATTGTGTTGTTCTTTGTCTTTCTCCTGCAGGTGCAAGTGTGCCTCTTGTTTTTTAACTCTCAGACTCTAAAAGTGAGCAGTTGAGGTCCTGTGCAGGCATTAATCCCCTGCCCTGGCTCAGCAGCTCTTTCAGCCCACTGGTACTGCTGCCTGGTGCCCGCCTCTTTTTGTCCATCTGTACCAAGACCTTTGCAAGCCAGTCCTGTTCAGTGCTTTTTATTTCAGTGAAAAGATGGTTTTAGGGTTCAGAAGCAAAATCGTGGCTAGGATTACAGCAGGATTCAAGTGATAACCAAGTGCAATCTGGGTTTTAGACCTGTCTGCGAAGACATGAAAGCTTTAGTCAGATTCTAGTGAGAAAATGAGTGTATTGTTCCTTCTTGAAACTGAACTATTGGAATGGGATTACTGTGCCTTGCAGTTTGGAAGGATTTGCATTCTAAGGTTGTCAACAGCTATAATTAATTTTAATTGGTGTCATGCAATTGCTCTGTGGTGAGGCATCGGTAACAGTATTTCAAGTGTTGTACTCCTAAGTAAAATGTTAGGTCATGAATAAGGACTGCAGGCCTTTGCCAACCTGCTGCTGGCAAGCCAAATGTGCTTTTCTAGTTAAATGAATGGCTTCCAACATCCATCCTGCTCTCCTTTGGGAGTGCATGGGGAAGCTGTGGAACAGTCTCACACAGTGCTATCTGAAATGCAAAGATCTCATTTTGTCTTGGTTCCTTCTTCAGTGCTGATTACTGAGGTGCTCTGTGCGAGCGCTTTCTCCATCTCTACGTGAAGTTAGAAATTGGGGTGCTAAAAATAGCTGATTGTGCAGAGCTACCGAACACAGGGTGTTGAAATGGCCAAACACAAACAGGCATGGCAGGGAGATTATATGTGTATATATGTATATATATTATATATTGCCACCCCTTAAGTATTCAGGAAATTTCTTTATGGGTAAAGCAGTGTTCTGCTGATTGTCACTGGTGTGGTAGTTCTGTCTTTTATGATGTCCTTGTTGGCTGACAGCATTTCTCTGATGTCAGAAGAGCAGATTGTTACTATCTGGGCTGTTAATTTATTGGCTGGGTGAACTTTGTAGTGTAAATGAACAGAATAATGTAGAAAAAAGAAGAAGAAAGGAGGGAGAACTCCTCTGCAAGCTTGAATCTGGTATTACTATGAGCTCATTAAGTTATCTCCAAGACCAGTTTTGTCTCTCCCAAGTCAGTTTTTAAGATGCTGCTGTTTAAGCTTAAGCAACTGGTTTAGCTCTGCTTCATGGCAACAATATGAAAACGTGTCTGTATTACTGGTGTTTGTTAGTAGAGCTGTCTCCATGATACAGAGAAGCAGGAATAGGAACATGGTAGTGAACTATTAATAGACTGCTTCTCAAATTCACTATATGAAATAGGAAATATGTTGGGCCAGGCTTCAGATTCATTCCTTTGAATGAAATGAGACTCCTTTCCTCTGCTTTTTGAGTGTGTTTTCCCTAAAGGTTGGCTGTATGCACCCATAGTCCTGTTTAAGCTGTTCTCTCTAAATGTGTGTGGTCCTGTTGCAGTAAGAGGAGAAGCCTGCGAATAAAATCGGGTTTTGGTGTAAAGGATATTTCAGGTCCCTTTGGTCCATCTCTTGTCTGCAGCTGGTTTTGGGGGGGAACTGGTTTTTGGATGCTGTCATCTTAATGCTTGCAGTTGGTACACAATGTGATTCACGTGTGTATAACGTGCTTGCTTTTGTGGTCTGGTGGTTACTTTGCTTTGCGGTTAGAGCGTGACAGAGGGCTGAAGAGAGAGCTCAGCAGTGCTGATGGTGATGTGCTAAAAGAAGGATGGCAGCAGCGGCTGAGCTTCTGTTGCTGCCAGGGCTTCTCCATGCTCTGCGGTATCAGAGGTGTGGTAGGGGTTGGGAGGGTGGATTGCTGGGTGTGAAGGGGCTGTGGTGGAGGTGTGGATGGATCTGCATCCCAGGAGCCCAGCTGCAGGGATGGCTTTGGGGTAGGTGTTGACAAGAGCTGTTGGATTGGAAGAAGGTCTGTTTCTAGACTTGCCATTTCGCAGCTGTTTGCTGTGAGCAGCAAGATACCAACCTACAGCTTCAGTGGGGTCTGTGGCAGGCTTACAGTGGTGCTTTCAGACCAGGGTAAGTGCTGATGTGTGATACCCAAACAGCCTGTGGGTGTGTAAGAGTGCAGCCAAATGCATTGTGTGAGATGTATGGGGCTTGGCACTGCTGTTGGAAGAGACATCTTCATAGCTCTGGAATAGGAGTGATTTATGCAAGTAATGCTTGGAGAATATCTGAAGCAGTCATGCAGTAGCAGAACCGGTTTTTCAATTGCTTAAGTTTGTGCATGTGGAATTGAAGTTACATCTGGAAA